TTTGTTATATACTCCTGAAAGGTATTGTATATCAGCTTTTGCTAACTGAATCTCGTTTTAACGGTCCTTTAAAGGCTTGCTACTACTGAAAAATCAATGATTGAATCGTTCATAAAGCATATAATGATCTCTTAATTGGCCTACGATGTCAATCAAAGTTTTCTATGTTTGGCCTAACATCAATATCTGTACATATTGTTTTGTATTTCCTACATGTTCAATTTCTTCGGGCGGCATTTATTGATTACTTACTCTGTGCCAGGCCCCGTGCTAGCCTTCACCAGGCCCTCCGAGATGGACGTGCTCCAGCCTGCCTTGCAGGGGACCTGAGTGCAGCGGTGGGGAGGTGGGCATGAGGGAGGGGTGGGCCCCTTCTCTTAGAAAAGCTCCCATTTGCCCCAAATTTTGAAAATCAGTAGCACACCAAGCAGCCTCTTTGTTAGTTTTTAAACCCCAGAGGGCAAACCTACTTCAGTGACTTCACACTTACTGAGATAATGTGAGTTCACTGCTTCATTTCTCTCCACATTAAGAAAGCAGTTTTGAGTACCTCCTTCAATGGAAAAGGCCTTCAGTGAAACTACTTATAAGCTGGTGATTACATATAATTGGGGTTATGGTGAGTGGTTCAGAAAATACTTTGATATCTGCTGTTTACATTTTGACCCTGCCACTTAGAAGCATGTGGTTGGAGCGCGTGACAGACCACATTAGGTCTCCACTTTTTCACGTATGGGAGGCAGCTTAAAAGGGCTACCCTGCGAGGAAACTGACTTACAAAAGGGCCTAGCACATGCCTAACACAAAGGAAGTATGCAATAAATGTTACCTGCTTTTAAATGCTAAATGAATATAATGCAGTATTTTATATGCTACTATTTGTTAGGCAATTGAGGGCTAATACAGGGATGAGTAAACAGTCCATGCTATACAGTGGCTTGGAGAGAGGGGCAGCACAGCATTTCAGGCCCAGCATGCTGTGGGATGCTCGTAAGCCGAGGACTTGGATGCACAGAGGAGGGCAGGGGTATCGCAGGGAGGGTTGAGATTGGACCCACATCTTGAAGGTTAACGAGTAGAGATCGTGGCCAAGGCATGCCTCGCAGGCCACACAGCCAGATGCCAGCTGGCTGGCCAGGCCCAGTGCAGTGACAGGTGAGGCTGGGGAGTGTGAGGCTTGGTTAGAAAGACAGATTGTGAGGAGCTGTACTCCTCATCGCTGCGCGCTCTGCATTCCCAGAGAAGTGAATGTCTCTGTCTTCTTTCCTAGCTCGCTCTCAGAAGAATTCTGGCATTGGGCGTCTGATGGTGCATATCATTGAAGCGACAGAATTAAAAGCCTGTAAGCCGAACGGTAAATGCTTCTTTAATTCAACAGAGGGTTAGCTGCCCTGCTTTTGCTAATGACTCTCTGGGCACTAGGTAATGGGATACTTTTTTAAAAGTGTTTCTAGTGCCACTAACAGGATTATTGGACTGATGTTATCATCACTCCCCGTTTCCCCAGTAAGTACCAAGGCCTCCTTTCCCCTGTGCTTCTGAATGGAGAAAGCATGAAGCAAGTTGCACAGACGCTTGCCCAAGATTGTGGGGGACAGTCCTGGTGTTTGAATGTGCTCAGTGCCCCCCCCCCCCCCCCGGATTTCTGAGGCTGTCAGCACAGGGAGCAGAGACCAGAGAAGTGAATGTCTCTGTCTTCTTCCTAGCTTGCTTCCTAGCACAGGGCTGGGCAAGCTGGGAGTCCCCAGGCAGTGGCCCCTGCTGCTGTGGTCTCTAGAGGGAGCGTCCATTTGGATCCTTCTTCTGCTCAAGGAAGGCCTTTCTGTCAGTCTCTCATCTACCACCTCGCCTCATGTGTCTTTTGTTTTTGTTCAGGAAAGAGCAACCCATACTGTGAAATCAGCATGGGCTCCCAGAGCTACACCACCAGGACCCTCCAGGACACACTAAACCCCAAGTGGAATTTTAACTGCCAGTTCTTTATTAAGGATCTTTACCAAGATGTGCTGTGTCTCACCATGTTTGACAGAGACCAGTTTTCACCAGATGGTAAAGTATAACTCGGCTGGGGAGCTGAAGGGTCCCAATGCTCTAGAATCTAGGTATGGATTCAGTGCTTGACCTTATTTTCATCACCACCTTCTGGAAGCCATGTGGGCTGTGGTCAGTAGCAGCTCACACTGGGCAGCAGCGGATGGGGTGGTTTTAGGTCTGTTAAGGTGTATGTTAGGTCTTCAACCCCATACATACACACACGATGGGATTTTGGGGCTCCTGGCACCTGCTGAGGGGGAGACCGTCCCTGGCCCGAAACAGGGCTCTGAGCAGGCAGTCTCCCTCACACGATCGGTAGCCCTCTACACACAGCCTCTCACAGAACAAACAGCCTTTAATAAAAGATGTTGCTTGTCCTGGATTTGAAAGTTTTGTGAATCCTGTTTCAGACACTCCCGTGTAGTAGTTCTTCATACAGCTTTATAACGACGACTTCTGACTCAAAAAATCTGTTCTCCAGATTTCCTGGGTCGTACTGAAGTTCCACTGGCAAAAATCCGAACAGAACAGGAAAGCAAAGGCCCTACAACCCGCCGGCTCCTGCTGCACGAGGTCCCCACCGGGGAGGTCTGGGTCCGCTTTGACCTGCAACTTTTTGAGCAAAAACTCTTCTGTAGGAGCCGTAGGGATCTGCCCGCCCGGTGGGGGCTGGAGAAGACGCAGCTGCCAGCGCCACCCAGGGCTGGAGAGCATCCGGGTTTCACGCATCACAGGGCCACGCACGCTGGAGCCCTCTATTTTATTGCACACTAAATCGCTAGCAAACTATGCAAACATGATTTCTTCCTATAAACCAAACCCCATAGCACAGTGCCTTGTATTAGTGTTACCACGTTGGGTTTGTTTGGATGCCAAGGTTTCCCATTTTCAGGGCTATAAAAAGTATTACGTGGAAATGAGGCATCAGACCACCAGACGTGACCACCTGGTTGCACGTGTCCCCCATAGGTGGTTTGGGTGACGCCAGAACCACTCCACACCACGTGACCCCTGTGGTCATGGCCACTCCGGTGAAGGGTCAGGGAGACCTGCCACTGGGCGAGGGACAGCCTGCTACCGAGAGAGTGTCTACTCGTGCACTGAATAAAAAGCAAACTTGATCATTTTATTTCTGATTAGATTTTTATCATTCTCTGCTGAGACAATAAAATTTGAAATCTAAGGGGAAAGCTTGATTTACTTTAAAAACTGTGAACTCTCATGATGTGGAAAATATTTTTCAGCCTTTAATTTTCTGAGGTATAATTTATTTATGTAAATTCTTGTTTTTTGCATATTTCATAGGACATGCATCTTTAAGCTTTATCATTGCCAATATGTACAGAGAGAATAAAAATATGTTTATGAATGAAACCTTGCAAAATAGACTGATTTACTTTCTTCTCCAAAGGCTCTTGAGAGGCTGCTTAGGACAAAACCAAATCTCCTTTCTGCAACAACAACGAAAAACCAAGGGCAGGATTGGGGGGGGTAAGCTCAGGAGACCCCCATCTTGACTGCCAGCGACACCACCGAACGTTTCTGGGACTGTTACTTTGGTGGCCTCTCAGTGAGGTCTCTGTGGGACGAGACTGAACCCTCTAGAATCCTGTGCCTGTCTGGCTGAGGGGAGCTCTCGGGGGGGGGGGGGGGGTAACTTAGGAGTAAAGAAAACACACAAGCAGTGCCGTCAGCGCGGCTGCACCCGCCCAGCTCCAGGCGCACCATCCCCACCCTGTCCCCGCGATGCCACGTCCACACCAGGACCGCTGATTCCGCCTCTGCGTGGTGACGTATGAGCTTTGTCCTGAAACACTGATAAAAATAAGGTCCTGTACGCTAAATCCCTGGGTTTCCCCAGCAGGGAAGAGACCAGTCTTTGGAAGGAATGGCTCTGGCTGCCAGACTTCTCAGGGAGCTGAGGCACAGGCCTGCCCCCCCAACCCCCTTCCTCCGAAAATAAGCACTGGGCAAAGATTGGCTAGAGCACAATTCAGAATATTCAAAGTTCATCACTCAGTCATTCAGGTTCTCAATCCTCTGCGCTGACTGGTTAAAACACACCGGCCCCAGGGTCTAAGGAAGAGCCGCTCTCAGAACCTGAAAGCAAACAGCTGAGCGTGCCAGGTTAAGGGAGAGTGGCCGGCCAGCGCGGCCATGCTGAGCAAAGCAGACTGCTGGGCTTTTGAAGGGTTTCAGGAGAGTCTTGTGTGGGTTTAGGGGGGCAATCGTGGGCTGGTGTTCATGGGCTGCCTCCGCCTGCCGGCTCCAGAGCTCCACACAGGGGGGCTTAAAGCAGTTCTGGGGTTGCCTGTGAATTAGCTCCAGGATAATCCCTGGGACTAGTCCTGGGTCTGTGGGGACCCGCACTGGGATGAGCTGTGGCTGGCGCCATTTCCCCTGTCTGGATACATCGGGATTCTCTGTAGACTTAGGACAGGGGAGCCTGCAGTGGGCCAGCGTCCACCAAACCCCAGGGGTGATTTAATGGCGGTGCCCCCAGCAACTCCAGCCACCGCCTGTGACTAGGAGCAAAGCTCGGCCCTTCAGTAAATCAAGTTCTCGCCTGATTTTCTGAAGGGCATGTGGGGGTGGGGGGGTGCCCTTAGACCACGTATATCCGTGGGGAATGGGGGAGCAGAGGGCAGGACATCAGCAGGGTCCTGTGGGCTCCTCAGCCTCAGGAAGCCCCCCTGGCCAGAGGGCAGCTCCATCCTCTGGAAGAGAACCTCAGCCCTCGGCAGCTTGGCGAACCTTACAAGGCCTGAGTGGACGGGAAGAGAGGGTGCGCCCTGGCCAAAGCACCTGTGCTTTGGCCCCGGAGGGCCAGGACTTGAAGTCAAACGCTGCCACTTTCAAGTTCTGCAACTGACTTGAGCAGTTCACCCACCTCTGGCCCTCATGTCCTGGGAGATAATTCTATGTTGCTGTGAAAAGTTTTAAATGGATATAAAATACCTCACACGGGTCCTACTTCACACCAGGAGCTCGATAAACAGTAACGATTATTATTTTGCTATTTCTTGCTTTATCCTTTCATTTCTGAAGAGAGAAAACAGGCGGGAGATTTCTTAACTGTTGCAGCGACGCTGGAACCAAATCCAGGGAATCGTGCTTTCCTGCTGTGGCCTCCGAGGAGGAGGCGGGGCGCCTGCGGTCCTGCTTGGCCCCCAGCTGCAGGGAGGCCAGATGCTGCCCCAGGACCTCTGCCGTCATCACTCTTCTCTCCGTGGGAGGCAACCCCCGGCGGAACCCACCTTCCCCGGCAGTCCAGGATCTGGGTCTTTGCTGTCCTAAAACCTACAGAAAAAGAGAACTGAATGTTGGGCAGGGGAGGGGTTCGGGGAGCAGGAGGAAGGCCCCAGCAGAGCCTGACCGTCCCCTCCTGTGGAGACCCTCCAGGCAGCTTCCCAGCGCTGCTCCATCCTCCCTCTGGTTCCAGCAACACGGAAACAGGCTTTCCTGGTTGCTGGACGCCACACACTACTACCCTTCTACGGGAGTGCGGTCGGCAGAGAGGCGAGCTGGCCGCAAAATGGTTGCTCTCCCTGCCACTTTGCTCAGACCATCCAGGTTCCCCAGCCCTACAGCTGGGGACGGTCACATGGCTGGTCCAGGCCAAAGAGCTGTCGAGGTCTGGGCCTCCTCCACTCCCAGGGGAGAGCCTCGGGAGCAATTTCATTTTCTTTTTTTTTTTTTTTTTTTCAGTTGACACATATTTCATTTTTTTCATTGTCTGATAACTTTTTAAATTAATATTTTATATAATTCTTACATCATTTTTCATTTTTGCACAATGTATGCATTATCCTTTTGGTTATATTCCCCATACAATTGCACCCCCCCTTATTTTGACCCTAGTCCTTCCTCTCCCCTTCCCTCCCCACCCCCCGTAGTGTGTCTCTGGTTTATAGTTGCTTGTTGATTTTGATTTACTTTGTATTAATTAGTCTTTTTCCTGGTCCCTTATTTAAGTTTTCTAAATTCCTGCTATGAGTGAGACCATCCGGTATTTTTCTTTTTCTTTCTGACTTATTTCGCTGAGCATGATCCCTTCTAGGGGAGCAATTTCATTTTAAGATCACTTTCCAGGGCAACCTCGAAGATGGTTCTGGCTCTTGGGTGAAAAGTAAATGTCCGTGGTGTGTAAGCCACACGCCTCTTGGGGACCTCTTGGTAACAGCAGCCAGGCTACCGTGCCAGAGGGCAGAGCGACAGCCGTCACCTTCGGCAGCTCGAGGGCACCTTCCACTCAGGCAGTCCTGTGCAGAAGCAGCTGCTGAGGAAAGGGGTATGATAACTGCTACACAGGAGATGCCATTTCTGGGGGGCACTGGGGAGAAGAGTGGAGCTGGGTCACAAGATCGGAGGTTTTCAAGCTACAAAGGAGAAACAGTGCCTTGTGTGTGGGATGAGGGGGAACAAGGGGTTGTTGAAAGGAGAAACCAAGCTCCACTGGGCCCTCAAGACACGTCACCAACTGGCCACCAACCAGGCGCCCCAGCTGCTCCTGAGTCCCAAAACTCAGGCTTGACGCAGGGAGCGGACACCAGAGAAACAGACCAGGAGCTGGACGCCACGGCAGCCTGGCTGTGAGCTCTGGCCAAGGAACCTGTGCAGGAAAACACCTGCACATCAGATGCCTTTTTAAATGAATTACTAATTAAAATAATAACTCTTATAGATCCAAAAATCATTGTGTTTTAGTCTCAATGTCATTTCCAAAATATCCCTACCTATTGTGACTGAACTAAGGTTCTGGTTGGAATGAAATAAGTAGCCACTGGTGGAAAAATGGCAGAAAAGCAGAGACTCAGGGAAAGAGTGGAGGAAATCTTAGTGGGCAGATTCCCTGTGGCCGGGCTTTCCTTACCAGGTAAGGGCACAATCTGGCCCTCAAAAGTGGGGACTAGAGTCCCACAATTTGCTCTTTTTTTGAGTTTCTGCCAAAGGGGTCCTGTCTGCACAGCAGCAACGAGCCCAGAGGCAGCCCCACAAACTCTTGTGTCAAAGAAATTCTCCTGCCTCCCCTTTTTCACGTCCTTCTTTGGTTTCTGCCTCCTCTGGCCTCCGGGTCGACTGGAGGGAGAGACTTGTCAAGCTCAGATTCCCAAATCAGAGCTCACTTGCTGGCTCGTGGGTGTTGTGAAACTGGCAGCCACACCCAGCAACCCCCAGATCTCTGCTCACCAGAACCTTCTTTTTATTCCTTTTATTCCCTTTGTTGAGCTTCGAGGAGTAAAACTGCCTTTCAAAAGCAGATTGACTTAAGTCAGTAATTTGTTTCTCTTTATTAGGCGCGTGTTTCTTTTCTGTGCAGATCTTTTCAGGACTGCAAAGAAAAGTAGAAAAACATTTACTCAATACAAACAGAATTAGACCACTCAATAACTATCTGAAAATTAATTTTGTGAACTCAATAGTCTATGAAAAGTCTGAGTGGGCATCACTTGAGGGCTGTCAGTCAGTGCGCCCCAGCACACTCCCGCTGGTCACCCTTAGGCAGGCAGTGTGTCTCATAACCCTTCTGCTGTGGCCCAGAGCCTCAGTCCCGACAGGTGGATGTTCTCCTCCTGGGCCTCCTGGCAGCTGGGTACTTAGCCTCGTCCTCAACATCTCCCTCTCCCCGGTGGGCAAGTGAAGCCGTGTACTTGGAACAGGCTCCCTAGTGCTGGGCAGGGACCCTCCAGGCCCTCCAGAGCAGAGACACCTCCCCAAACTTACTTAAAATGGACCAAATAAAATACTAGAACTATAAGAATAAAACAACTGAAAGTGAGAACCCAATGGGAAGGTTTAACAACAGGTTATTAGGCACAACTAAAGAGATAACTAAAATATCTAGAATCCAATATAGAATGACAAAAGGGTGGAAACTACACAAGAAAAGATAAGAGACAGAGAGGATGCAGTGAGAAAACCTGAAATATGTTTAACTGAGTCCCAGAAAGAGAGGAGAGAGTGAGTATGGCAGAAGTTAACCATCAAAGGAAAAATGACTTCCCAGAACCAATTTAAGACATCTCTTTCCAGATACAAGACGACCCATGAGTTCCAAGTGGAATAAATAAAAGAAATCCAGATGTGGAAACACTGCTGTAAAACTACTGAAAATCAAACCAAGAAAATCTTTGAAGCATCCCAAAAGACAGTTACCATCAAAGAATCAACAGAAAGCCTGGCAGCTGACTTCTCAAATCAACAAGTAAAAACAAGTAGGAAAGATGCCGAAAGAAAGCTGCCAACCCTACATTCTTGATCCCGTTAAAACATCCTGTAAGGCCTCCCTAGTGGCTCAGGCAGTTGAGCGCAGCGCTGTGAAGCTGTCTGCAGCCTCTGCAGTGCCAGTTGGATCCAGGCGGGCCAGCGAGGGGCCCACATGGTGCAGCAGACCTCTCCTGTCTCACCCGTTGCTCCCCTCAGCAGTGTATTTCCTCAGTCTGCCTGTTCTGTTCCCTGCTCTCTCTCTGGTGAATCCTGTCACCCTCCCGGGCATCTGGTCTGTACCCCGGTTCTTGTATAAATAAATAAATAAATAAATAAATAAATAAATAAATAAATAAATAAATAAATAAATATTTAAAAAAAAATCCTGTAAGAAGAAGCTGAAATCTGCAGAAGTTTCTAGCCGATGTGAGTCCAACTCCATGACATTCTGCAAAAGGCAAAACCAGGGAGACAGTGTTAGGGTGGCTGCTCAGCAGTTACCAGTGCTTATTGCTGTGAGGTTTCTGTCTTGCCAGCCTCTCAGGAGCTTTGTGCCACTCCTTTGGACTCACACTCTGCAGCGTAAATGTGAACTGGGGCAATCTGGCATCCAACCTGGCCTTCTCCATTTCTTGAAATTCTTTTAAGGTATAGTGCTTTCCTACAAGAGAGAAGACCTGAATCAGCTCTCTCAAAGTCAGCGCCACTCACCTAGGAAATCATTGAACTATTAAAAACCTCTAATTTCAAGCCCAGGGATCACAGAGTACCTGTCTCATACTGTAAAGCGGCTCTCTTCTCTTTATCCATCTCTTGCTGTCTTTTAAACAGAGGATCACAAAATGGTAGGACTGTAACCTACAAAAAAAGTGACTCTCTGAGGACCCCAGTAGGATCGTATTAAGCTTTTTTTTATTTTTAAAAAATATTTATTTATGCATACAAGAACTGGGGTACAGGCCAGAGGTGTGGGGGGCGAGAGGATTCACCAGAGACAAGAGAAGGGAGCGGAACAGGCAGATCTACTGAAATACACTGCTGAGGGGAGCAGTGGGCGAGACAGGAGAGGTCTGCTGCACCATGTATGTTGCTCCCTGGCTGGGGATTAAACTCATGTCGCAGTGGCTGGTGCTAGCTTGATAGCACTGAGTCTTCACCCCTGTGCCACCAGGGAGGCCCTCAACTAGTAAGTTTTGTGATGGGTTGGATGGCTTTCAAGAACAATAACCATAAGGCAAAAATAAATGTAAAAAATCTATGTAATCCTATGTTCAATAAAATTATTTTTTTTCAGTGAAAAAAAACAAAGAAAAAAGAAACAAAAGAAACTTACCTTTCCATAATTTGGGTTCTTTTTCTTCTTATAAAAAGAATTGTATATACTTCAGGATCATAAAAATCTCCAAATATAATTGCCTTGGGGTGGGTGGGAATACACCTCAGAGCAAATCACTACATTCAAATGTGTTTTTGCAAGATTCTAAAAAGCCAAATACAGTATTCCATTTTTACATAAAATCATAAGCTCAAAGGGCTCGAAGAAGCCCCAGGAGTAACCAAGACTGCAATGAGACGCCGCCATCGCTGAGATGCCATCAGCCAGTCAGCCTTACTTTAGGACTGACTGTCTGCTCTGTTGGGCAGGCGCCTTTTTGGTAGTTCTAACCACTAGGAAGTTTGTCCTTAGACTGAGTTGAAATCCACTTTGTCACTGCAGGTGCAGACTGAGCCCCTCCCCTAGAGAACACAAACTCCACCTCCCCATCAACCATACGTCAGCCTTTTAAATCCTAAAAGGAACATTCCCCTTCATGTCTTCTCTTCCCCAAGAGGGTCTTTCCACTGCTCCTCCTCTGGCGTCATCAAGCCTCCACCCTCTTCTAAAGGTTCCGCAACTGGTGGTGGGGAGGTGTCACCCAGTGAAGACCTATGAGACTTCAGGGGAACTCTGAACTTCCAGTGTGTTAAGACAAGGGTCCCCTGGCATCCTTTCTACCTCTTCTTCCTGCTTGGAACCCAAGAACACAGACCTAGCGACCTCGACTTGCAAGCAACCAAATGCATTTACAAATGTGAGGGTGATGGGCATAAACTGAAAATATGAATCTTAGGAAATAAAGCAATAGGGAAAAAAGCCTGGGTGATTAATATACCCAATTTTTAAAAATTCAGTACCATTTTTTTTGAGTGCTTTAAAAAATATTCAACGTTTTCTTGTTTCCTTTTTTCCATCCTTCTGTATGAAATTACTTTTTCCATAATTTTCTGCTGAAGAGGCTCTGCAACATTTTCAGTCCATTTTTTATGTAACATCTCTTTTCGTCTCTCCTTAAAAATATCCAGATGCTGAAAATATGTATCCAATTTCTAATGCAAGCGATACAAACAAGGAAAACAAATTATTAAGTTTTCCACGTATTGTCATTTAAGTAAGGGGAAGGTGCTTTTTGCCACGCCTAAACTCTTTGAACATTAGGTTGCAAATACAGCATACTATAATTGGAGAACAGAATAAAGTTCAGGAAGAGAATGTGAAAGCACAGAGCAGGAAGAACTCATAAAAAGTTGTAGACCACAATGTGCTTGGATATTAAACCACATCCAAGCCATTCCTAACGTGTTACATTCCTGCTTCTTTGTCTTTCAAAACATTTCCAGCTCCCCCATTTCATGTCCCTAGATTTTTCTCATTGGTAAAGTCTATGACCAAATTAGTAGAGTAGAAAGAACTCCACAGTTGCTCCAGCACTGCTCCGTCTGAATCCATAAAGGGAGGTCACCCCACTACCTCTTCCAGTGCTCTAATGAGAACATACTTGAACTTCCCTTAGGAATTATAAATCATGATACAAATGTGAAAAACATTATTTTAAACAGAATTTCAATCCCTTTCATTGAAGTCAAAACCTCCTTAAATTTATGAAACCCTTAGTGACTCTCAGTATGCTTGGTCGTTACCCTTAAATATTAACTTGTTTCTGTTGGCTTAATGGATCCCCACCAGGATCCATGTGGGAATATACAAGGACGAAAATATTGAGGAAGAGTTTCTCTTCAGTACTGGGACAAAGAGAACAATCTCTCCCACTCTTAAGGTTGAACGGGGATCCCCGGCACTTAAGTGATCCTGCAGAGGTGACACAATCTCAGATGTATAAAGTATAATTAAAAAAACTAGAAAACAAGTGACTCAGGGAAAGAAGGCTCATTCTTCCAGCAAAATCAATCTCTGTGATATAGAAACAGTCACTGGACCACATTGCTCTGCGCCATCTTACCTAGAACACGCTGCGGGTCCAGTCTGCAGGTAACTCTTACCTTCACAACATAATTTTCTCTAAATAATATCGTGTGTACAGCTTCATCAATGTCTTCTCTAGCTAATTCCTATAATTACAGAATTAGATATTAGGATGTAAATGCCAGAAGAAACAATCAGAATGACAAAACTGAGTATATTTTACCAATAGTTTGAGTGGAAATCTCACATTTATATCTCAAAACATATTTTATAAATTTCGATTATGGAAATTTTCAAACAAATTTCCATGATCCCATCACCTTAGCTTAACAATTATCAGCTCTTTATTATTTTTTTTTTTTTTTGGTGGGACCCTCGCCGGTGGCTGGGGATCGAACTGGCACTGCAGAGGCTGAGGGCAGCCTCGAAACCCAGCGCTCAACTGCTGCACCAGCAGGGGAGGCCCAATTATCAGCTCTTTAAATTCATTAGAATTTTGAATAATGAACAGCCAAATGTGATTAGAAGATTTCTAGAAGGTTAAAAAAACAATAATCAAGTCAGAGTCAATCTCATTTCATCTAAATTCCAACTCTCTCCTCTACCTCCACCCAGATCACTTTGAAACATATCCCTCACAGATACTATTAAATCATATAAAATACCAAGAAAGCTACTAATTAAAGATCCTCTGTGAAACAAACACCTCCTTTCAGGCATTCAATAGATATGTTTTAATTTTTTTAAGATTTATTTATTTATGCATACAAGAGCTGGAGTGCAGGCCAGAGATGCAGGGGATGAGAGGATTCACCAGAGACAGAGTGGGGAACAGAACAGGCAGATTGACTGAAACACACTGCTGAGAAGAGCAGCGGGCAAGACAGGCGAGGTCTGATGTGCCATGTGGGTAGCTCTCTGGCTGGGGATCGAACTTGGGCTGCAGAGGCTGTGGATAGCTTCATAGTGCAAGACTTAACCCCCTGAGCCACCAGGAAGGTTCCTCCCCCCCATAGATGTTTTATTTATTTATTTATTTTTAAAGATTTATTTATACAAGCACTGGGTAGAGTCAGAGGCACGGGAGGGTGAGAGAATTCACCAGAGCCAGAGCGGGGAGCAGAACAGGCAGAGTGATGAAGTATACTGCTGAGGGGAGCAGCGGGCGGCAGGAGAGGTCTGCACACCATGTGGGACCCTCGCCCGGCAGCCAGGGATTGAACTGGCGCTTTAGAGGCTGCAGGTAGCTTCACAACCCAGCGCTCAACCGCTGTGCCACCAGGGAGGCCCACCCAATAGATATGTTTTAAAAGGCTGTAGATGTTCTCTGGTTTCTGCTAGATCCCTTTCTAAGTCAAAACCTCCTCATAAGTCAAAACTGAGGAACTAAAGAAAGTTCAACTGGTCCAGAGTCTCACCAAGTCAGGGGCCGCTCCTGGCTAGAGCCCCAGATGCTATAACCTGGGACCTGCTGTTTCCTTTATGAGTTTGGGTAAAGTTGAAGCTTTAGGGCTTTTCCTTTGGATCATCATGAAATGATCTTCCAGCTTTTACACTTATAGAACTAAGTAGGAACAAACGGGAAGGCAATAAAAACCCAGTGTCTTGGAAAAGAAATGCTACCACTTACAAGAATGATCTAGTATAGGGCCTCCCCGGTGGCACAGCAGGTTGAGCACAGTGCTGTGAAGCTGTCCACAGCCTCTGTAGCATGGGTTCGATTCCCTGCCAGCCAGGGAGATTCCCACACGGCGCCGCAGACCTCACTTTTCCCACCCACTGCTCCCCTCAGCAGTGCTTTCCATTTGTCTGCCTGTTCTGCTCCCCACTCTGTCTCTGGTGAATCCTCTCACCCCCCACACCTCTGGTCTGTACCCCAGCTATTTGTATGAATAAAAAAATAAATCAAGTCCTCCATATTGTTAAAAAAAAAAAAAGAATGATCTAGTACAAAATGGTATAGTCCCTTAAGACAATATTGTTCAATGTCTGGCTCTTCTTTCAGTTTTGCCACAGTGAGTGCATCAAAACCAAACTCCAAACTCAAATATCGAATTTGAGAATAAGAGAAAGCTCAAAAAAAAGAGTCATATTTTTCCCCATATACATAACAGCTTCCCATGAAATCTAAAGTGACACAAGCACTTGGATCTTCTCCAAAATAAAAGTCTTTTGAAAATATAAATAGAACCTTGCTTGAAAACCTGTCTACACTTATTTTAAGATGACAACTGAAAAAATCATGTAAACAAATGTTTTCCCCTGACACCAAATACAAATTCGGGAAAAAAATCAACTTATTTATTTGAAGTAGAAACGTACACTGTGACAAGCATTTTGGAAAATCACATTTTTTGCAGTCATCCTATTAACATTATTAACAAATGTCAGATCCCCTATGAGACATGGGTCAGATTTCCAAAGTGCCTTTTTTATTTAAGAAAATACAGTTTTTGCTTTGCTGGCTCCTTCTCTGTGATTTTGTCAGAAAATAGGAGTATGTTAATAATTTCTAGCAGCATTTTTGAAAGCCACAGCTTTCTGTGCAGAAGTAAGTGTCACTACTAACTGCCATGATGGCAAAAGGAACAAAATAGGGCCCCCCGGTGGCGCAGCAGTTGAGCACTGGGTTGCGAAGCTGCCCGCAGCCTCTAGAGTGCCGGCTCGATCCCCGGTTCGATCCCCGGCTGCTCCCCGGCCACCGGAGGGTCCCACATGGCGCTCAGACCTCTCCTGCCGCCCGCTGCTCCCCTCAGCAGTGTGCTTCGGTCCTTCTGCCTGCTCTGCTCCCTGCTCTGGCTCTGGTGAATTCTCTCACCCTCCCGCGCTTCTGACTGTACCCAGTGCTTGTATAAATAAATAAATAAATGTTAAAAAAAAAAAAAAAGGAACAAAACAACGTATCCAAGTGCTGTTCCTTAAAGCGGGGCAAATTATAGGATGATGTACAACATCACATCACATCACAACCCCCCCAAACCCAACATGCTTATGAGAAGGTCATTGCTGCATCAACCCCTGAAGCCTCACAAATGAATCGGGGAGACCAGAGCTCCGGCCTGGGGCGCACAGCCCTGGCTCAGGTGGGTGATAGGGGGGACTCGAAGCACCTCCTCCTTGGCAGCCCTGACCTGAGTCCCCCCCCCCACAGCCCTGACCTGAGCCCCCACCTGGCCCCCGACAGCCCTGTCTTGAGTCCCCCAACAGCCCTGACCTGAGTCCCCCGACCGACCTGATCTGAGTCCCCCGAGAGACCTGATTTGAGTCCCCCGAGAGACCTGATCTGAGCACCCCTCCCCCAACAGACCTGACCTGAGTCCCCCGACAGCCCTGAGCTGAGTCCCCCGACATCCTGACCTGAGCGCCCCCCCAGCTGTTCCCGTTCCCGTTGGGGAGTAACACGCGAGGGGAACAGCCCCTGCCCGGCGCCCGGCGCTGCTTCACCTCCATCAGGTCAACCTCCGCGGGCTCCGGCCATTCTCTCCATTTCTCCGCCTTGACGCGTCCCTCGCAGCGGGGCGTTCGCGAGGCCGCCATGGGTGCCGGCCCTCTGCGGGGAGGTGAGGACTTTGGGGAGACTGGGGCTGCGCCGGCAAGGGGGGCCGCTGCGCGGAGGGGCGGTTGGAACCCTTGCCCTCCCGCCGAGGGGCGTCGGGGAGGGCGCCCCCAGAGCTCTCAGGCCTCGCCCCCACCCCTGCCCGGGCCGCTGTTTCAAAAACGCGGGGCTGATGCATCCCCCGCGTGTTGCCTAAAGGCCAAGTCAGGTAACCAGCGGGGTCCTCCGCCCCATTTGGGGCAGGATGGCTGGGACCCCGCCTTGGCCGCTGGGGTGGGGGGTCCCGGAGGAGGAAAGTCAGGGTCCCCACCTGCCACCCTCGCCTTCGGGAGGCCCTGTGACACACGTGGGGTTTCAACCGTCCAATCCAACATGGCCTCGCATTCTTTAAAGTCATGAGGGTGGGTCTCCCTGCTGGCGCAAGGGATGAAGCACCACACTATGAAGCTGTCCGCAGCCTCTGTAGCACGAGTTCCATCCCCGGCCGGCCAGGGAGCTACCCACATGGCGAGGCAGACCTCTCCTGCCTCGCCCGCTGCTCCCCTCAGCAGTGCATTTCAGTCAGTCTGCCTGTTCTGTTCCCCACTCTGTCTCTGGTGGATCCCCTCACCCCCTGCATCTCTGACCTGTACCCCAGCTCTTGTGTGCACAAATAAATAAATCTTTTTTTAAATAAATAAATAAATAAAATCATGATGATGAAGCCATGGACTAGCTGTTGATGAGAACACAGCTGCGCAGGGGACTGGAGCAAGAGGAATGAGCAAAACCAAATACAAATAATTGGAAAACCGGCAAGGGTGATCCTGCTTGCTCATGCATAACTGGAGTCTTTTAGGAGGCAAGAACAAATGTTTAAAAGAGTTTTTTTTTTTTTTTTTAATCCAGGACATGAGCCTTTCTCTTGAAAGAGCAGGTGCTGGACCATGAAAAAGTGACAGAGGTCAATCCCAGACTTAGTCTAACATAATTGACTTTAAAAATAAATAATCCTCGGAGCAGCCAGGCAAGAACCACCAGGTCACTTTAAACAGGGACCATGCAGGGAGGCCTAGAAAAGAGTGCCGTGAGGGTCAAGAATTTTAATTTCCAGTTAAACTGTCCTTAAAGGATAAAGGAAAGAGGTCTTTTGTGAGGGGTCTCTTTAACTTGACATAATGTTTTTGTTACAAACTCAATAGGTTTGTTGCTTTGACATGTCCCAAATAGACCAGACCCAATTTTTATCAGGTAAAGAGCTTATTACCTGTGCAGATAATGGAGATAAGAGGCTAAGCTCCCAAGACTGCCTCCCTGGAAGCCTCCCAGGGAGCTACCCACATGGTGCAGCAGACCCCTCCTGTCTTGCCCACTGCTGCCCTCAGCAGTGTGTTTCAGTCGATCTGCCTGTTCTGCTCCCCACTCTGTCTCTGGTGAATTCTCTTACCCCCACACCTCTGGCCTGCACCCCAGCTCTTGTATGCATTAAATAAACAAATCTTGCAAACAAACAAACAAACAAAAGACTGCCTCCCTGGAAAAATACCTGAAGGGGGTTTCAAAAGAAAGACTGATAAAGGAGTCTCTGGTGACTGGGTGTTGAAGGTACCAGCAGGCTGGGCATTTGGGCAGCTTCCACAGATCGCATGTTTACAAAATGGTGGCTCCACACCTCTCTTAGGTGGAGATTTTAGTACACTAATGAAGTTGGTGTGAACTTCAGGTCACGAATGAAGATCTATACATGCTCTGTATTCTTTATGCACTGGCAAGCTGCTTAAATCATACAGGGAATTAAAATTTATCTGGAATGTTTTGTATGAGTTCTTGAATAAAACTTGGGAACCAAGGTGATGTTTTTCCTGGTCTCTCTGCAGTGTGGGTTGAACAGAGCATTGGAAATGCCAGTAAAGGGCTTTCCCTGGGCTGTCACTCACTTATTTGTAATCAGACTTTTTTCTATTTAAAATTTTCAGCTCTCCTGGTAGTAAAACCCAAATGGGCTTCTTTAAGGAAACTGCCAGAGACTTGACATTAAGCAGGTAGATAGAGTGTGGAGGTCTGAGGCTTTGGTCCTCACTTTTACTTTAAAAGGTATGACAATAGTTTTATCTGGAAATGCAACCTTGGGGACTCGAAATCCACCTAATCCACTGACTGTTTCCTCGGGTTCTCTTTTTACCAGAAGATGGCAGCGTTGGAGGCAGGTAGGGGAGTTGGAGTATTGTTTTCTGATTGCAACTTCCTTTTAATGACGCTATTGTGTATGTTAGCCCTTTTCTTCCAATAGAATAAAATGGGGTCCTTTGTCATAGCTGCATATCCTATGACCCTTGAGAAAAGGGTTTGGAGAGTGACTGTAAAAGTTCCAGGTTTTGAATGAAGTAAAAATGTACCCCCCAAAAATGTTAGAAATAATTGCTAGATTGTCCTTTTAAAGTTAGTCCTTTGCTGAGTTTTTAAGTAGGCACTTGATTCTCCAGACATAACCCTACTAAATCAGAGATCTTATAGCAGTGGAATCTTTTCCTCACTGTTTCTCCCACTAAACTCTAGGCTAGAGGGCTTGTGTCTGGTCATCTTTATATCCCCAGCATCTGGCAGAATATCTGACCCCCCCCCCCAAAAAAAAAAAAAGACAATAAATACTTATGTAAATAATGAATAATTAAATGAGACCTACTCTTGACTTCTACATGAAATGAAATTCAATATCAACATAATCAATATTTAAGTGACTGAAGACTCTTCAGCCAAGAGAGAATCAACCTTATAAGCCTCACAGTAGACCTCTGTAGAGTTGCCATTTTGACCTAGTCAGAAAGTATCTTTATTCATTTACGACTGTAACAGAGAAAAGCAGTTCTATGCCCCAAAGTTGTTTATTTTTTTTTTTTTTTATAAATAGAGGCATGTTTTATTTATTTATTTTATTTGTTTGTTTGTTTTGTTTATACATGCACTGGGTACAGTCAGAAGCACGGGAGGGTGAGAGAATTCACCAGAGCCAGAGCAGGGAGCAGAGCAGGCAGAAGGACCGAAGTACACTGCTGAGGGGAGCAGCGGGCGGCAGGAGAGGTCTGCGCGCCATGTGGGACCCTCCTCCGGTGGCCGGAGAGCAGCCGGGGATCGAACCGGCGCCGCAGAGGCCGCGGGCAGCTTCGCAACCCAGCGCTCAACCGCTGCGCCACCGGGGAGGCCCTGCCCCAAAGTTGTTTAAGACAAAAATCTCAGTGTCATTTGTGAAGTGTTAGTCTTGTCCATAGAATAAACTTGCACTTGGATTCTATTTTAAAAATTCTAAATAGAGGGCCTCCCTGGTGGCACAGTGGTTGAACGCTGGGTTGCGAAGCTGCCCGCAGCCTCTGCAGCACCGGTTCTATGCCCGGCCACTGGGCGAGGGTCCCACATGGCGAGCAGACCTCTCCTGCCGCCCTCTGCTCCCCTTAGCAGTGTACTTCATCACTCTGCCTGCTCTGCTATCCGCTCTGGCTCTGGTGAATTCTCTCATCCTCCCGCACTTCTGACTGTACCCCAGTGCTTGTATAAATAAATAAATCTAAAAAAAAAAAAAAGTTCTAAATAGATTTAGGCTGCCTTTTATAAAGAAGGCTTCTGAAATATCCAGATTTCGCCTGAACAGGAAGACTACCATGGAGTAAGCATTAATGAATGATTCATGGGAAAAGGACTAGCCTCACTTTACCTAAGCTTTTCTTCTGCCAGATAAAATCAAGGTAGAGTTAACAATACTCCTTTAATGATGATGTGATTTCTAGAAGTCTGACTTGACTGATGAGGTAATATAAAAGGGGGGAAGAGACTAAAGAGTGTTATATCCTTCAGGACCTCCCCCTAAATTCCAATCCCTCAGCATGATCTCTAACTGGCCTGCCTGTCTCTTCTGTCTCAGCCTTCTTCAGCCATTCCCCCTCTTCTTACTGCCCATGGTGGTCATTGGCAAGGCCTGTCTGGCCCCATCTCTCTGGCAAAATGCCTTCCCTCAGCACTGGACTCTTGGTGGAATGCTTCCTTCTGTGACTTTGTGTTTGGCTGTGTCTTCGTGGCCCCGGGGGTACATACCTAACCGGAGCGGGGATCAGGTACTCATAATTTCCTCCTAGGATTTTATTAGACTTTTGAACAAAAGCACTGAGACTGGGAGAGGTATATGCGTCATGTTCAGGACAGCACTCTAGGGAGAAGGCCTGGGGTCTCTTGTACCAGGCCCAGTGTTGTCAAGGTGCTTACCCTTCATGAGGAATTCCTGTTTTTCTCAGGATTCCATGAGGCACATCCATCCGTACATCAGGACACATAAGCCATCTAATGGATCCCAGTTTTACTTTTGCTTGTTAGTTCTGGTTAGCTTGTTACTGACAACCCACAGGATCCTCATTAATTAGAAACTGTATGAGCCTTCAGAGAATATGTGAGATATTGGAACTGGTATTCTTGCCCAAGCACAGTGAAAGGAAAGGACTCCACTCTCTGCCAAACAGAGTGGGAAACCATAGCTTGCGATATGATGTTATCTGGAGTTTGCTTCATAATCATCCAGTTGAAGGACAGGGATGGCAAAAACAATAAAAAAAAAAAAATAAATGAAGTCACCCATTTGAGGATGAGAAGTAGGTATAGATACAGATGAAGCAAGACTGGCCATGAAGTGACCATTCATTATTGAAGCCAGATGCTGGATACATTAGGTGTCATATAACGATCTTGATTTTTGGCATACTTTTCAAAAAGTTCCCTAAAATTAATCTAGTTGTTACATTGATTGGGCATGAGGCATTGGAAGACTGGATAAGTATCAGGGAAAAGTAAAGTGAAAGAGGATGAAGGCTATAGAATGAGAGGGTTAAGTGAATAAAGCAAGAATTAAAAGCTCAGATGCCAGAAATCTGCAGTGAAGGCATAAAACTAAATACAAGGTCACGCTTATTTATTGTCAGGGCCACCATGAATAAATCCCATTCTGTTCATGGCCCTCAAGTGGATACATTGATCTTGTGAGTTGTTGAATTACAACTCCATTTGAATTAACAATGCTATCAGTCTTTCATGGGAAGGCTAGAGCAGTGGCTGGGAAAGAGGAGACTCTGATAACTATGTATGTATGTGGAACGGATGGAAGGAAAGGGCTCAGACCCCCCAGCTTTTGCAAAGGCTCCCAGGTGTCCCCTTTTCCAATGTTCGAGAACCTACTATGTCAAATTGTGACAAGAAGTAAACTTACCATGACCAAGGGTGATATGCAGAATCAACAAGTGGTTAATCACTTGTGGGTAAACTCAAAAGGAATTTTTTAATTTTCTTAGGACTACTGGACAAACCTGGGGAGAGTACCCGGGTGTGGATTTTAAGAGTACCTTCCCAAGGAGGCACAACTTAATTTAGGGAAAGATCGAATGAATTGAGACAGACATTTGGCAAGGTAGCTATTATTTTTATTGGATCTTTCCAATAATACTTCTTAACATCTGGGAAAATAATTTGTAATAAGTATTAATACATGATATTGTTACTTCTTAATTATCATACTGATACTGAACTCAAAAGTGAAATTTATTACAGATTCTTTCTTAGACATAGTACAATTCTTGAGTGCCTTCCTTGGTCCTCACCCTGAATGATTGCTGCTGAGGGGTGGCTTCCTCTGAAGCAGTCTCCTTTTATGTCCTCTTTTACCAGGAGGGTTAGGGTATGTGCTCCTTGGTTGTTAAAAGCTTCTGAAGATGACAGGAGAGAAGTGTTAAATGAGAGGCTTGTGAGAGCAGAAAAAGTTCCTCCGCCCAGCACAGCTGATGCCCCTGCAACTCCTGCCAGTGCTGGCAACTCACCTCGCAGGCAAGGCCCCGTCTAAACCTCCTGCCTCAGTCTCTCCTTATTCCATCTGGATTCAGACACAGGCAGAGATTTGGGGAGAGTCAATCCTTTCACAGGTGGGATACATCACTGACGTGTGATGATTTGGGAGCCCTGCTTTTAGATGTCAATATGTCTGGAGTACTAATGTACACTAGGATTATTGTGAGTTAGGAAAAATGAGATTCCTTTCTGCACTTCTCTTTTTAAACCTCTCACCTTCACTAACAGCTGACAGATGACCCTCTGACTTCACTGAGAAGAATGAAGGAAACATAATTTAAAAGCCTCCTTACAAAGTTCACCAAAAGCTTCATCTACCTCCATGTATCTGCTTTCCTTCCCCTCACAATGGACGGGCTATCCTGCCCTCCTGTCTGCCCTTCAGGTCCCGGGTCCCATCTCTTTACAGGTGAAGAGAAGAGGCGGGAGGGGGAGTGGATGAGGGAATGGAGATATGCCAATATCTCTTAAGTAGAGATAATGAGAAGGATTCTCAGAAGAAAAGATTTGGTCAGAGGTCTGAGTGAATTGAGGGAGTCAGGTATGGAGTCATTCTGGAAAAAGAATGTTCCAGACAAATGGACTGGCAGAGACAAATGCCTGAGATAAGAGTGAGACAGGCCTGTTGAGAACACCAGGAAAAGCCAGCGAGGATGGAGGACAGCGACTGTGGAAAGAAAAGCAGGAGACGGGGTTTGCAGAGGCGGCAGGTGTCCAACCATACAGCTGGTTAGAAGCCACGATTAGGAGTTAGAATAAGATCCAGTGTCAGAAGAAGCCATTCGAAGACTTTGAGGAAGGAAAAAATCTGGCCTAATTAACATTTTTTTTTAACTATGGCTGCTGCATGGAGAACTGAGTACACAGGGGTGAGAGCAGAAGAGGGAACCGTCCAGGCGGCCAGTGCTCTAGGCTGGGCCAGAGCGCAGAGACGGAACTGAAGCCTGCAGTGAGGAGCAGAGAAGCGCAGGAGCCAGCCCAGCCCAACGCCTTTAGCAGAGGATGCGTGTGAAAGTACTCACTTCCAAAAGCAAATCAAAGATGACTTCTAGAATTTTGTCCTGAGGCATCCTGGTCGGATTATGGTGCTAGCCGATGACCCAGTGGGAAACTGGAAGGGAAGCAGTTTGTACCAGAAGGACAGAAATGCAAAAGTAAGAAATAATCCTGTCTGGGCCTAGTTAAATTCAAGATACATGTAACCATTACAACAACACATGAAGAAGGCTTACAGGGTATGATTATAAAACAAGTAAATTTGTTTTCCCTCTCTATCCATTTAAACCTCTTCTGGTGGGGGTACTTATTCCCCGACCTCACTTCACCCGCTGTCTTTTCTTCACTGCACCCATTACCACGCACATGATAAGTCTGGTTGTTTACTACCAAGTCTCCTGCCCCCACACACTGTCTGACTCAGAGTAGGAGCTCGTTAACGTTTTGGGGGAGAAAGCAAGCAAGCACGTGGGAGGACACTAAGACATGACAATGAAAGGAGCTGACCCATAAAAGAAAGTTTTAGTGCATTTTCCCTAAGTGAGTAAAAAAAGTAGTTTCCTTAGTCCTTAGGGGGTAAAGACCAAGAGGATGAAAGAAAGCTGCATACACAGAAACCAAATTACTCCCACGTTGATTTTAACTGGGAGATGGGGCTGTGACTTCTCCAAACCCACTCCTCTGAGAGTCTGTGCTCCAGGCCTGGCATACAGGGAGCGGAGACAGGAACTGAGGGAGAAGTGGCACTGAGTCCTGGAAGCCACAGTCCAGGCTGCACTGTCAAAGGCCACAAGTTGAACCATAGTTACCTGAGAATGAGAAGTCTGTGTTCTGTGAACCCCTGCATTTTACATTTGGGACTTTTACTTCTTAAATTCTACTTTAATTTAGTATATAGTCCTTCTGAGAATTTTCAACATTATTGGTTGAATTAAGGAGAACAAAGTTTTGGGCCTAGCTGAGGTGTGCTAAGAGGTAGAAATGGTGGAGAGACAGCAGGACAAAAACAGAAGGAAGGGAGCTGAGGAAATCCTCTAGTCCACCCACCACGGGGCACCTCATGTATTGCTCCAGGGACTACTCTCTCCATTCCTCTAGGCTTCTCTTTCTCTCCCTACCTCTGGGAGCGGGGGATGCACTGACCCATCTCTTCCTGGAAGCCTGCTGTACAGAAAAAAAATTCCCAGCTGCTCAGATTTTGATATCAGCAGTTGCCACATTGTATATTGCAAAATGGGACTAGCCCGGCTCTCACCGCATCCTGGTCCTCATCCCTTTCCACCTCCAGGCTGAGGCTCAGGGAAGAAAAGTGCCCTTCAGAGTTGGCCTCCTTGGGACTTGGGTTCTTTCCCTCCTGATAGCATAGAGGTTCTTTTTCCAAAAAAGATGACCCTTTATTTCTAGAGGGAAGAATCAGGAGAGAATTTTCTTATCAACTCAGTTGTAGCATTTAATACTTTATTTACATTTGAAATTGTTGAGTTCTATATGAACTTACAAAAAGAAACCCAAATAAATAACATTACTTTGCTCCAGTAGTTTTTTCCATCTGAAAGGAAAGGTGCCACCTCACCCAGACAAAGCAGTACAGGCTGTAAGAGGCTATAAGAGAATCTGGGATACACCTCAGCCCTGATGCCAGCAATTTAAAAGGAGGGCAAAATACAGCAAGCATCCAAAATGATGTAAGTTTAAAGCTCTCAACTATTGGGCTTACCCATAAACAATAGCTTTTTCTTCTTCCTGAGATGCCAAAAGATGAGGTGCTCTCACTGAGGGTTCCACATCAAAGCTACACTCGTTAAAATTCACTTTCACTTTTAACCTTGAACAAAATAATATGTGTGAGGGTGTTTTGAAAGCTATACTACAGAAATTATTGTTACACATTGACTGTAATTACATCGTCCACAATACTACTAAATATTGGTATATTCTAGTATATATACTATTGTATATTCATGGGTATTAAGAGTTGCTAAAACCATGAGGGAGATTGTTTACTGAGAACCAAGAATCAGCTAGACAAAGTTTAAAGTACTCTCTATTCACTGAGAGCTTATACTCTAATGCAATAAGGAGCCAGCGAGATTGTGACACTGACAAGCAGAACTACAAAACTCTTTTCCCCAGAGAGAATCCAAACACGAGGGTGGTGAATGTCAAAAGTGTGGGCAGCTGGGCTCGCAGTGGTGGGCAGAGCACAGGAGAAATAGATTTCAGGGAAGATGCAATAACAGGGCTAGCAGGACACGAGCCCTGTCCCATCTGAAATGTGGGGACACTAAACTGAAGATTGCCACAATGAGCCTAGACCTTTGGAAGGAGATGAGGTGGGCCCCAGGTAATGACTGTGTCAGAGAGGGAGAAACAGAAGCAAATACTTCTGTTTTCCCAAATTAGGTGAAAAGAACACCCAAAAATAAAGTCAAATAATAGGAAGACAAAGGAATCCACTGTCAAGAGGTAAATCAACAGAACCAGATTCAGAAATGAACCTATTGTTGGGATTATCACATAGCAAATTTTTTAAAACTATCATGCATATGTCAAAGACATATTAATATGTCACCTTCTAGTGGGAAGGTGAACATGTATAAACAGATGGATATTTTCAGGAGAAATGAAACTATGTGAAAATGCAAATAGAAATGCTAGAAATAAAAATCATTACATCAGAGATGAAGAATTCCTTAGATGGGCTCCAGTATATGGAACAAAGCTAAAGAAAAATTCACTTGATGGGCTGATCAGCAGAAGGGATACAACTGAGGAGAAACTCAGGAAGCTTAAAGATAGGTCTATAGAAGCTGTCCAACTGCAATACAAGTAGGGCGGGGAAATGAAATACAAAGGACAGGTATCCAAGAACTGGGAGCGATGGGTCAATATGAAATTATCTCACATATATATCACTGGCGTCTCAGAAGAAAACACAAAGAATTGGGATATAAGTGGGATAAAACAAAGAATGGGATATAATATTTGAAGTGAAAGTAGACTAAAATTTACCAAAAAAAAAATAATGAGATATCAAACCACAGATATAAAAATCTCAGCAAGCCCTAAGAAAGACAGAAAGGAAAGGAAAACAACCCCCCTCACACACACAACTAAACACAGTATAATTCAGCAAATAGAAACCAAAACAAAGAGAAAATCTTGACAGTATCAAAAAAAGTATCACAGAGAACGAAGAGAGGAATTACAGTAGATTTCTCACTGAAAAATGAAATTTTTAACAATCATAACAGACAAAATTTGCATCACTGTCTTAAAGTTTTCCATGAGATTCCACAATATTTTTAATTATATTAACTGTTACCTGCTCCTTTTACAAAATTCACTTTCTATGTAGCATTTAGGCACTTTAAGCCACTCATTCGGAGTCATAAATTGCCTTGAATTAGAAATTCTCGGGAATCTGGAAAGCAGTCTGGCCTTCTCAACCTCTTTAAATTCTTTCATTGTATATATTTTGCCTGCGAGAAGATTAAACAAAATTAGCACCCCTAAATGTAGCTCCCATTGTTCCTGGATATGAAATCACATAACAATTAGGAACTAAGTACCATTCTCACACTGAAGAAGAGTTCTTTTTTCATCATCCTTGTCAAATTGTACCTTTTTCAAAGGGTCACGAAGTGGTGGGATGGTGACCTAGAAGAGAAGCGCTCCTTAAGGTCTGGGTTGCAGGTGTTTGTCAGTCTATTCTATGCATGAATGTATGGCTCCACTGCCAGAAGAATCAAGAATACATTATCTACACACCAATAACCTAACCATTAAATATATTTAACACATTACAAAGAGACGTGTTACCACTACCTTTTTAAGCAAGGCCCTGCAGCCAAGAAAACATGATTCATTCTTGGGCCTCCCCGGTGGCGCAGCAGTTGAGCGCTGGGTTGCGAAGCTGCCCGCAGCCTCTCCAGCACCGGTTCGATCCCCGGACACTGGGTGAGGGGTCCCACATGGCGCGCAGACCTCTCCTGCCACCCGCTGCTCCCTCAGCAGTGTGTTTCGTCAGTCTGTCTGTTCTGCTACTTGCTCTGGTTCTGGTGAATTCTCTCACCCTCCCAAGCTTCTGACTGTACCCAGTGCTTGTATAAATAAATAAATAAATCTTTAAGAATAAACAAACAAACAAACAAAAACATGATTCATTCTTGTTTGAAAAGTATTTTCAAATCACTGTGGCTATCTTTTGGCAATATGAATGAAAACAATGTATAATATTTAACTCTGTAGTTCACTTCTAGCAAGTTATCCAAAGGAAAGCTTAAGAAATAAATAGCCGTTGGGCCTCCCCGGTGGCGCAGCGGTTGAGCGCTGGGTTGCGAAGCTGCCCGCGGCCTCTGCGGCGCCGGTTCGATCCCCGGCTGCTCCCCGGCCACCGGAGGAGGATCCCACATGGTGCGCGGACCTCTCCTGCCACCCGCTGCTCCCCTCAGCAGTGTACTTCGGTCCTTCTGCCTGCTCTGCTCCCCGCTCTGGCTCTGGTGAATTCTCTCGCCCTCCCGCGCTTCTGACTGTACCCAGTGCATGTATAAACAAAACAAACAAACAAATATAATAAATAAATAAATAAACATGCCTCTATTTAAAAAAAAAAAAAAAAAAAAAAGAAAGAAATAGCCGGGCCTCCCGGTGGCGCAGCGGTTGAGCGTTGGGTTGCGAACCTGCCCGCAGCCTCTGGGGCGCCGGTTCGATCCCCGGCTGCTCCCCAGCCACCGGAGGAGGTCCCACATGGCGCGCAGACCTCTCCTGCCACCCGCTGCTCCCGCAGTGTGCTTCGGTCCTTCTGCCTGCTCTGCTCCCCGCTCTGGCTCTGGTGAATTCTCTCACCCTCCCGCACTTCTGACTGTACCCAGTGCTTGTATAAACAAAAAACAAACAAATAAATAAATAAACATGCCTCTATAAAATTAAAAAAAAAGTCATTTATAAAAAAAAAAAAAAAGAAATAAATAGCCACAGGATGCCACCATAATGTAATTTATAAGCAATAGATCCAAAGATCCAGATGTTCAAAACAGGGAATATGTTTTTTAAAATGATGGTATAGAAAGATGATTAAATATGCTCTGCTATTTCCAATCATGTGACCCTGGACAAGTAATCTACCCTATCTGTGACTCTCCTGCCTCAACTGTGAATTATTTCATATATAGCACTGAAGATGAAGTAAAATGAAAAAAAAAAAAGTCAACACTTGGTTAAGCCCCCGTTATAAGTCAGCTGCCATTAAGAATAGAATATCATGTGATGAGTAAAACTATATGTCTACATTTATTGACAAAGAAAGAAGTAAATCATAAAAAAAAAAAAAAAAAGTAAATAAAAACTATTGAGGAAAAGAAGTACATTATAAATCCAATGTATGGTATGTGTGTATACACACAAAAAGAACTCTTAAAGTATACTCAGAAAATGTTAATGAATTAATTCTGGGTAAAGGAATTATGAGTAGTCTTTTCTCATTTATCTATGATGAAAATGTACTATTTTTGTACATTTAAAAGTTTATGAAAACCTATGAAATTTCTAAAACTGACCTCTTATCCAATTATTAAACAATATTTTCAAATTTACAGATATTTAACTTACTTTGGCCTTTGCCTTTTTTGTTCCTTCCTAAGATACGATAATGGTTAACTCTTCTTAAGATGTTACAGTACTCTTAGAGAATCACTAAAGATCTATTCACATATTTGGGCTGCTCAAAACAACCAACCACATAATACAAAAATTAAAATAAGAAATCTATCCTACCTTCAGAAAACTGGGATCCTCTTTAGTCATATAAAAAGGATCATACTCTTTTGGATCATAATGTTCTATAAATGCAGTTCCCTATAGGAAGGAAATAAAACACAGGAAAAAGGAAGTTCACAATAAATTTTGAGCATAATAGTACTCAAGCTCAGTCAACAACATGAGTGACAATGCAAGGGAAAGGAAAAACTGAATTTGAAATTAAATTTAATTTATCCAAATAACAAATGTTAAAGTAATGGAAGGATGCTACTTAAACTATGCAAATTTTTAATTGAAAATGTCAGAACATTAAAATATTTGGCATTATTTTTAAGGATTAGTAGTCAAATATCTAGGATCTCTTTTAAATGCCAGGAGAACAGAACTATTTTATAGCTTTGAAAATAATCAAATTCCAAAAGAAAAAAACCGGGCCTCCCCAGTGGTGCAGCGGTTGAGCGCTGGTTGCGAAGTTGCCCTCAGCCTCTGCAGCGCGGGTTCGATCCCCGGCTGCTCCCCGGCCACTGGAGGAGGGTCCCACATGGCGTGTAGACCTCTCCTGCCGCCCGCTGCTCCCCTCAGGAGAGTACTTCGTCACTCTGTCTGTTCTACTCTCCGCTCTGGCTCTGGTGAATTCTCTCACCCTCCCACGCCTCTGACTGTACCCAGTGCTTGAATAAAATAAATAAATAAATAAATCTTTAAGAAAAAAACAAACGGACAAAACATATATATAGCCTAAACCTAGCATCAAAATTTTTTAAATGGTATTTTAAATTAATTTAAAATTAATTTAAAATTTTAAATTTTAAATTAATAATTACATGGCGGGGGAAGAGAAGAAAACTGGTTATAATATACACATTGAAAGCCAGACCAAAGCCTCTTCCTCCATCCTTTCCAAATGCTCTGGATCTGAGAAGGTAATTGTATAACAGAGTCTAGATTAGCCATATCTGAAAGAAGGGGGCATGGTGTTTGGATGATATACCCTTAATTTTAAAACCAACTGAAAAGAGTATCAAACGATCTCTTAATACCTGTTTATTCACATATTTTAAAAAACCATCTAATTCTTCTCTTCTCCTATTTTTAATCTTCTTATGTGAACAAACTTTTTCTATAATTTTCTTCTGGAGAGGATTTGCCACATGGTCAACCCATCTTTTGTATAATATCTCCTTTCTTCTTGTATTTAAGAAGTCATGATGTTTCAAATACTTATCTAGTTCCTAGTAAACAGTGATAGAAAAGACAAATATATTATCCTGAAGTTTTTTTATTCTAAAATTTAAAAGTCTTTATATTCCTAGGAATAACCTACAAAATCATTATCAATTCAATCATTTTTTGGCTTCTACTGTGTGACACACACTATACTGGAAAGGAGTACGAAATGAATGAGACACAGCCCTGCTCTCCTTGGGATACAGACCACATGTCTACAAAACAAGGGAGAAGGAATAATATAATAACACACACACACACAAAAGACATGAGATAGACAGTAACTGAAGACACAGAAGAGAGGAAACTATTTTGCAGAGTTTTAAAAGATTTCCAGTTTGGTGATTCCTCAGAAAGTTAAACAGGATTATTATATGAACCAGTAACTTTATTCATAGGTATATGCCCTAGAGATTATAAAACAGGGATTCAAACAGATACATGTACACCACTAGTCATTATAGTATTATTCACACTAGCCAAAAGGTGGAAACGACACAAGTGTTCAACAAGAGATGAATATATAAACAAATTTGGTATATAAACACAACAGAATATTATTCAGCCATAAAAGGGATGAAGTTCTGATATATGCTATAATGAAGAACATTGAAAGCAATATACTAAGTAAACCAGATACAAAAGGTCAAATGTTATAGGATTCCACTTACATATCAACAAAGTAAATTGGAAGCTAGGGACTCGGGTAATGAAATGGTTTTGGAAAGACAGTGGTCAAATTTGCACAAAAAGTTAATAAAATTAATGTCACTAAATTGCACACTTAAAGTAGTTACTAGTGGCAAATTTTATATTATCTGTATTACACTATAATGAGAGAAAGGGTTACATTTAAAAAAATAAAAAAGATTCCCTAGGTGAGAGACATTTGGTATGAGTCCTAAGGAGTGACAAGTTATCTAGGAAGAGAAGGGATGACAAAGAATAAGGAATAAAAAATATTCGCTGAGAAAAAAAAAAAAACAAGCATAAAGAGGCAGAATTGTCTACAACCTGGTCTGAATGACAAGTAACACACAATTCCATTCTCTGAATTTTAAATTTTTTATGAGGACATACTACATCAAAGTAAAAAAATTTAGCTTTGAGACATTCTGTAGCCAATTCTTCCTTAATTGCATAATTTTCTCTATATAATATGGAATGAAAAGCTGCATCAATATCTTCTTTAGCTAATGCTAAAACAACAAATGAAAATTTGAAAATCAA